ATTAAAATTTAATATGTATCCTAAGTAGTAGTAGCATATTTCCGCTCGGCGGCATCCGAGTGGAAAGGGTTAAAAACGAAAATAGACATCTTCAAACCGATTTTCTTCCTAGATCTTTGTACGGGAATTTGCGCCATGTCGGACACTTAAGACATGATATCACGTTTTCACCGAACAAGAACTCTTTTTTAGATAACAACTATATATATATATAAATAATAAACTATATATATAGATAATAAACTATATATATATATATATATATATAAATAAAAAAAATTATTTTATATTGACTATATGACTATTGTCTATGATATCCAAGAAATTGGCGGTCAAAAAGTTGCGCGCTGTATGGTTCAAATATTTTGCACGAATCTATCGAGGATGTCGCGCGGTCATTCACGTGGGGAACATGACAATAAATTCAGCATTGTACAAAACCTGCTGCATATAATAATTATCCTCACAATAATGCATAAGCATAAATCGTAGTAACATATCTGACGCGGAATGTGACTATATAACATATAACATGGTTCGGTTTACGATGTGAACTTGAGAGCGAATGTGTTCTATAACATTTATCGCGTTGTTAATATTACATTATGAGGTGATTACTCTGGCGGACTGACTAGGCACGGTATGCCATTCAAGACCCAAGCTGGAGGAAGGTATCGGAATAATATTTCTTATACCACTAATTATAAAAGATAAATAAGTTAATATAATCGTTTGCTTGAGTCATACTAATTTTTTCATTCTGTCACATAATTAAGTTTATTAAGAACACACGCCCATTAGTATTACTGATTTATACGGAGTACAATAATCCGTATTTATATTTATTAATTTAATAATTTAGTTCATTTATGATATATTGTAATGAATGATTCATACTTCTAACGGTTATGCCAATATAACAAGCGGACGTGTGCTTAAACCGGTCAGACTAGACAAATGTCGCTTTTTAAGTCCCGTCATTGATTTGATGATTTGAATATTTAACATAAACGGCTTTCAGTTTCAACGGCATTTTACTCCTATGTTACACTAGGTAGTGTCACTTTTACTGCGATTCATTTATGATCATTTCTAGTTTTTGGGATAATAATGGAATGGTTTCCTTGTTTTATAAATATATGCTTGAGATCATGATGTCAAAGTATATAAATAAATTTTATCCCTCCATTGCTTTTGTATCAGAATGTATGAATCTATACAAGAATGGAATTATTGTGTCAGTTCATTCGCATAATATTTTTTTAGTTGCCGCATATATTTTATTATTTAGCCTCTTTAGGCCGTGGGCAATGTACGCTGAGCGAAGTTTGCTTCGTGTGCACTCTCGATGTATTGGTCTGGTTTTAATTCGTTTTTTTAAATTTTTTGTGTCTTGTTTTGCCGGATCGACGACTTTCGGTTTCGTTTGCGTATCATAATAATCAAAGAGGATGCAATGAATTGATCGATGTTAATGAAAGCCCAAAAGAATGATCACGCTCGCAATTCAGACGCTGCTCCAGGCCAACATTTCCGACAAATGCACCGATTAAGAAAATTGTTGTAATAGCCATTCGAGATTAGGCAGAGAATTTTGTTTCTAATTTGCTTGTTTGCATTTGTGTGCTTGCAATCCCAATTATGGCACGAAATATGAAGCAATAATTAAATACGTAAATGTTTCTATTTAGTAGTCTTAATATAGTTTCTTCGTCTTTACTTAAGATGGTATTAATTTTTAATTCAGAAAACTCATCACATTTCAAGTGAGAGGTAATCCTATTCTTCCTATTCTCTATTTGTATTTTAATATGATTAGAATGATTTCTGCCACCAAAGAGCACATTTGTTTACCTGTACTTCATCTTGTTACAATATTTTTTTTATTCCATAAAAGTTGATTACATATTCATTCAAAATTTATCCTTTTACCTAACGCAAAAATTATATACTACATACAATTGAATACCAGACATCTTATGATGATTATTCTAGACACATTCCACTGACAGCTTCCTGTTTACATATCATTTATTGTTAGTCCCACAAAACGACATATTAAGTTATATTATTGATATTTATACATCAACGGATTGGATATTGAATACATGCGTATTACAAAGTTTAAATAAAATCTTTAGTCTGAGCGTTTATTCACACGAGATATTTTCACCTTCTATGCCAAGGTTATTCATCCATTGTCAGTGATTGCAACTTTCATACACTTGACCGTGTGCTGTAATAACCTACCACAATGCAATTTTATAGTTACTTCACTTCACTTAAGACTTGTTATTCATTAGATTCGTGTCAATGATTAAATAGAACAAATGAAAATTACAATTAAAAGTTTCGGCAAATGCAACCTACTTTATAAATATATATATATATATATATATATATATATATATATATATTCAATAGATAAGTCCTGGATTTTTTCAATATGTTGATTATTTCTTTTCCGAACAGTAAATCCAATAATAAAAAACAATTTGTTTTTTGAAGATGTTTAATAACGACGTTTCGGAACTAGGTACGTTTCCATCATCAGGTTTATTCTGTCAAATACAATGTTTTTTAAAAATATTGATTAACATTAATTAATGATGGTCAATACAGATTAATTAGAATTTTTTTCATAAAGGAATGGATTATGTACCGGGGTAAAGAGTAATAAGAATTAACTAAAAAAGGTTTTATATAAAATTGAGAAGCAAAAATTATTTACCTGTGATAATTTATATATCCATATCACTAATATTTTTTTGTTAAAAACACTCGATTTTTTGGAGGATATTTGTAGATGTTACGACTACACAAGATTTAAACACACTGATATGGAGTTCTGTCGGCCAGATGTAAGGGACAATGTACGGAATTCTTGGCAAAAATGATTTTTTATGGCTCTTGTATTGATAATTTACGAAAAAAAAGGAAATATTGCTTTAGTAAATGTTGAGAAATATTATGTATATATATACATGCACATGCATATGCACACCTACATACTCATACATACATATATATATTGAAATGCCGAAGATGGGTTAGAAGCATGAAATACCGGATTGGAATTGTAAGTGATTTTTTTGCTTGTGCACCCTTAGATTCACAAAAACTGACTACATAGTGAATGCCAATAAAACATTAAGAATATTAAATATGATTTATATATAAATATACTATTTATTTATATATATATATATATATATATTTATATGTATATATATATTGATTGTTTCTTTTTTTAAGCACACCTACATACTCATACATACATATGCACATATCTATAATATGTGCATATGTATGTATGAGTAAGTAGGTGTGCTTAAAAAAAACAATCAATATATATATATATATATATATATATATATATAAATATATATATATATATATATATATATAAATAGTATATTTATATATAAATCATATTTAATATTCTTAATGTTTTATTGGCATTCACTATGTAGTCAGTTTTTGTGAATCTAAGGGTGCACAAGCAAAAAAATCACTTACAATTCCAATCCGGTATTTCATGCTTCTAACCCATCTTCGGCATTTCATGGGCAATCCTTTTATTTTTTTCGGTTTGTGTGTAATTGTATTTGTGGTGCAGTCGTACGGCGTCTTGTTTTCGCCGAGACTCCCATCCACAAGGTAGACGGGCTCTTCTCTTCTGCCTCTTGCCCGTCCTCGGCATTACCTAGGTAGTAGTAGGTAGATATCGCGACGTACGCGACTCACACGCCACCTTGGTCTTGGTCTCTCGGCTGCTCGTTTCACCTTGTGAGCGAACGTTCAACTAACGCCAAGACCCGTCGCCCAGTCGCCCGTCGAACCGATGAACTGACTGGGAATTCTTTTCCTTCTTGCCTTTTTTCCTTTCCATGAACTCCGCAAGCAAGAGCATCCTTTTGCTGGGTTTGATTCTTCTTTCATCTCTTATACTCTCGAGCACGTTGGAATCTACGAGCTTTATACCGTCATTCATGATGAATCTACGCACATTCTTCCCGAAAATAATTTCGTAAAACATTTAGTAGAGAAAATAGTTCCATTTAAATAACTGCATTATTTGGAGTCATTTAAGTTTAATATCTGGAATATTGTAATCCTTAAAACTTAGTTTAATGTTCAATGTACAATGTCGAATCTCGAATCTCGACTGTAAAGAATATAAATGCATGCATAAGACAAGCATACGTATTTGTTTGATATAAATGCGTCTAATCTTTCTTTCGTCTCTTCATACATATCATCTTATATATGCTGAATAATGCTGAAATACATAATGTATTTAATTATAAGGTATAAGCATATTATGTATACATTTAATATATTTGAAATTTTAAAATTGAGATATTTATAGATTAATTATATATATATATATATATATATATATATATATATATATATAATGTATTCGATTACTATAATTTCACTTTTATAAGCTACATTTATGCGGTCATTTAACTATGGCATTATACGTTTTAGTCGTATCAAATATTGTTGATCTAGATTCTAGGAATCTACGTCTGATATTTTGAAGGTAATTAAACTTTAAATATATTGTTAATTGTATTAATTAACCTTGACTGCGTCTATCTCTATAATTTATATACTCGCGTCAATAATAAATGCACATGATTAGGTTTTCGCTGTTAGTCGAATGTTATTCCATATCCACATCCATAACGACAATATTAAGATATTATGAAAATTTAGTTTTGATTTATATTTTTTATAATTTATATTGCACAATTATCGCACAAAGTTTATCATAGAACTTGATGCGCTTGTTCATTTTATTAGGAACTCATTTATAACTGCATAATTTTCTAAGATTGCCCAACCAACCATTATCCAAATGTTTAAGACCCTCGGTGGCTTTGTTACGCGGGAGTCGAGAGTTCAATGCTTACAGAACTGTCCTTCAACTCTGCGGCATCCTCTATCTGTTGAAGCGCGTTCAACCGCAACGTTAAAAACTTAAGACAATGCGATCATCGGCCAGTAACTTATCTTGGAATATTACACTTATTCTTTAAGATCCCATCAAATGAAGTAAATGATCAAGGTCGCTTTGCACAGCATTCTTAGTTTTTTGTAGTTTTAAAATATGTTTTATCTCCCGCTTAAATACCATTGTATTGCACGATTGGCATTTGATTTTGTGTTAAATATTTTGATGTTGTAGTTATATGTAGTTTTATCATATTTATATTGCTTGTATTTAGTTCCACATATTAGAATTCGCGATTTTGACAAGTACATTTTGTTGCAGGATGCAAAATCAAAGCCTTGCGTGCAAAAACCAATACGTACATAAAGACTCCTGTGCGAGGCGAGGAACCCGTATTCGTGGTAACTGGACGCAAAGAAGACGTAGCCAAAGCTAAGCGTGAAATTCTTTCTGCTGCAGAACATTTTAGTCAAATTCGTGCATCTCGCAAATCTAATCTTAGCGGCGGGTTAGGATCTGGCGCTAGTACGCCACCAGGACCACCTGCAAATATTCCTGGCCATGTCACAATCCAAGTGCGTGTTCCATATCGCGTTGTGGGATTAGTTGTAGGTCCTAAAGGCGCTACTATTAAACGCATTCAGCATCAGACTCACACATACATTGTTACCCCAAGTCGCGATAAGGAGCCCGTCTTTGAGGTTACGGGTCTCCCTGAAAGTGTAGAAACTGCTCGTAGAGAAATAGAAGCGCATATCGCACTCCGCACGGGCAATGGAGCTACTGCTGGAACAGCTGGAAGCTTAGGAGCTCTGCTTGGCGGAGATGCTGACGCACCCGAACTTCTTGCATCCTTATACAAAACTGGATTGGGATCTTTGTTCAACTACTTAGAGCCCGTTCAAAATGATGCTTTTGCTTTGACTTCATCCGGCAGTTCTGGCGCGTACTCCAGCTCTGCTTCTTGCTCTTCCAGTTCTTCAGGAGGGGCTGGCGGCAGCGCGCACAGTGGAACGCGTTTGGGAGATTTAGTGTCCATTTGGAATGGATCATTGGACCGCGATGAGGGACTCGGCGATTCTCCGAGTTTTGACCCATCCAGCATTTGGTCATTTACTGCGCCTTTGGCTACGCGACCATCACCAGCCGCGTCCGTATCGCCCGCTGACTCACTGCTTGGGTCCGCAAAGCGCGAATGCCGTGTGTGCGGTGATATGGAGGTCACCGCTGCATTAGTACCATGCGGACACAATCTTTTCTGTTTGGATTGCGCTAATCGCGTGGCCGCCTCCGAGGGCTGCTGCCCAGTGTGCAGTCAACAAGTTGTGCAGGCTATTCGCATCATCTCCTAGACCGGCGCATCAAAAGATGGCCAGTGTTGAACGAAAATGTTTACACGGTTTCAATAATTAAGATGTTTGCGTTGTCTGTGAAGAAGTGCGACTGTGTCTGTGTACTTGATAAAGCGGTGTTTTTACTTAAGCGTCGTTTCGCGTATTCATATGATTATTACTATACGTTCTCGTTTTGTCGGTAGTTTTAAGAGTTTGAATGAAATGTATGTGGCTGTTTTATATCAGCACAAAATATATTATTATATTCTCGTTTAATCAATTATTTTGTTTCTAATAGAGATTTGAAATGTTCTTGATTTCGAATGTTTATGATTTTGTTTTACCCTATTATCTATGAAATGATATATTTAGTGTTAAAAGTATGAATGAGTGCGAGTGTTTGTGTAATCACGCTTATTATTTTAATGATTAGTGGTTTAATTTCTATTGCGTACATACGAGGTGCCGCATCACATAAATATATAGCCTCTATATCCGCCAGTTTAAAAAGATTGATAAAATGCATATATGCATATATAATATTTATATTATATACGTACATATGTATATTATATACTTACATATATAATTATACAAGCGTTTTTATATGTGCGTACCTATGCATATATATGTATATATATATATATATATATATATATATATATATATGCATATATACTATAAAATATAAAAATTCATATATATATATTTATTAATATATTATCACATCCACCATTTTAAGAGTATTATACATTGCTATTTAGATATTATTTTTTTATAAAAAGATATTCATGGTAGTATTGTTTTTTGTATCTGTTGTAAGGTTGTGTTGCAAAAAGATTTTATAGAATAAGTTATTTGTTAGAAGTGGGGGGATGAGAAATTTAAATTGCTATGATTCTTCATGGCTGCTGAGACATGTAAATTAAATAAGAGTTTGATCTCGCTACTTAAATATATGCCAATCCACGTTTCATGAAATCTAAAGTATTAAATTAATTCATTCATCGATTTATAAAGAAGTTTGCAGTATAGCATAAACCGTACATTATCCAAAATCAATGCTCATGAGGTATAAAAATTTCCATCGTTTATCACGTGGATTGGTAGTAATTTTTCTTATTCATTTAATTTTTATATTTAAGTATTTAAATGTTTCTATCAACGTATATATTTTTAAATTAATCTGTATTGTTTTATATTTCACCGTGATTTTCAAAGTCTGATTAAAAAGCAAAAAATGGCAATTCTCATCATAAAATATATAAAAAATTTAGTAATATAATATTAAATTAAAAACATAATATCTAATATATTATATAATAAATAAATATAAAAGTATGGTCACACGTATGAAGATAATTAGAAAAAGTTTTATATAGCCTAAGTAAAAAAAAAGTTTTGGCGTCAGCTTTCGTCGCGCCTGTCCGTTGCACAAGCGACGTGCTAAGCTCGGGCTAGCCGGTCTTCGCATCGGCTGTGAACACAAACTGCCAAACCCCTTGTCCTTCTAAAATCATACCCTTCTCCTTGATAACACCATAGTATTGTAAAAATAACTGGAACAAAAGATAATAATTGATACATATCCCTTAATTGTTAGTAGTGATGAATGTTGATTGATGAACCTAGAGCTCATACATACTCAGTAAAACTAAATACCTAAATATATATATATTATATAATAAAAAAGTAATTATTGTTATCCTCTTAAAATAATATATATATAAAATATTGCTTATTGATACTTTATGTTGTGTACTTGTGATACGATATGTATTTTGTAAATAAATTAGATTAAGTTAGTGACGGCGTTCGTGAAGTTGACTATCTGCCTAATAACCATGAGGTAGATATGCACTGAACGCTGCCACTGTATAAAAACGGCTGAACCACCGAAGCTCTTAGCGGATCGACCGGTACCCGAGTTCCATCCTAGAAGCTCCCAATCCCAGATCCTAATCTGCACAATGCCTTCGTCTAAATGAATTAAACGAAATAATTAAAATAATATTCAATCAGTAAGGCGCGACAGGTAGGCTATAAACAGTATTTGACATGACTGCCCGCGAACTACGACGGACATTATTAACGATATTCGATAGCTTAGTTTAGGACGGTAGGGAATATATAGGTAGCCCTGCGCCATGCGCTATGTAGACGCCCAAATATAATGTTTGTTTTCCTTTTAATTATTTTATAAAGACATAGATAAAAAATTAAATAAAACATACCGTTGTATATATTTTTTAATAATTTGTTGTTTCTATATATTATTAGTTATCCATTAATATATTAAGTAATTTAAATATATTAAAAATACATATTATATTTAAAATAACACGGATATAAATATTCCACGTGTGCGAATACACTATAATTTAGTTAACTATAGCATTATATATTAAAAATGAAATAATTTTATTTTTTTACATATTTTTTCATAAAAAAATTTAAAGTCTTATTGATATTATATATAGAGTCTCATGATCAGTACAAGTTCACCTTAAAAATAAATACTGAAATTTTGTACAGCCTATGACTTTCACTATATACTCTCATATTTTCAAATATTTTAAACGGCTAGCATACTTGTTTGAGCTTTTTGAAGAACTGATTTTTAACTGAAATTCAAATTGCAGCGAACAATTACGGCCAGTATTTAAGTTTTGTCATTAATTATTATGATATTCAAATAGTGCGACTGCTAAATAAAATACTTTATACGAAAACATATGCTTATAAAAATATGAAATTTATTCAGTGATTTACCGGTTTTTTTAAATTATATTTGTAGTTATAATAAATATTACATTTTACGAAAGATCTATCTGCTTAATATACTCATGTGTTTTTATATATAAGAAAGTTTAAAATATAGAAATATTTACAGATGAATTTTTTGTCTATGCATTTAATACGATTTAAGATTATAAATTTTGTCAATGAATTCATTGAAAAATATTTTTATTATTCGTTTAACTACATAGTATGTAGAATAATTTAGAAAAATTGGAAACCAAATAATTGTCAAAATAAAGTTTTGTATGAATTTATTATTTTGTTTTTTTATTATTTTATATTTGTATTTTATGTTTGTATTATTTATTTTCAGTTATTTTGTTTTTAGTATTTGCTTTGAGTTGTTGCATTGTCAAGGGCTCTTTTACAAGCAATGGCAAAGAATAGATTGTTGGTTGAAATTGTTGTCTTATAAATGTTAAGAGTTGTGTATTTTTACTACGTATCATTCTTGTCTGCGACTTGCGTTCAGTCTGGAATAGGGAACAGCAGAATAAAAATTTGGCACAACATAAGTCCGTTCGATTTTACTAATTAGTTAATATAGTTTTGAAATTTATAATGCCGTACATGTGTCATTGAAATATATTTATTATGAAAAATATAATAGAGTTAGTAGTATTTTTTATTAACAATATATAACTCAACTATTTAAATTGGTACGTGTTTTTAATATAATGAAGAAGCATTGCGTCTAAGACAGGGGTTTTTCGGACTCATTTTTGTTATTGTAGTTTCAATTATTTATGATATTATGCTGTACAATGCAAATTCATATGGTGTATAACGACGAGTAAATTGCTTTAAAATATTGAATTCAATTAATATTTTAACGGACAGTATGTATACAAAATATTTAAAAAAAGTGAGTTTACTTTACGGTTACTGAATATGATTCAGATTAAATATTTTCATAGCCACTTTGTGTCAGGCACAATTCTCATAAAGAATAAGGATTTTTCGAGATTAAATATCTCAACGAGAAGTTTTGATTGTTGTTCAATTATAGATTTTAGTCCCGTTATAGGCCCCTGATCTGGGAAGGCAAACGCATTCAAATTGCTACCATGTTTATATGTCATTGTAATAATATTCTTAATTTTACGTTTTAAGAATATTTTTGATCGTTACTTTATGATATTGATGAACATATAAACATTGTAGTTAAATGTAGTATTTAATTAAAAATATTGTGGTTGATAGTGTAAAGGCCGATCTAAACAGATTTGGGTGTGACTAAAACTGTCTTCCTAAGAGCTTGAAAAAGCGGACAAACCACAAGGATTTCTTCAACAAATTATATTTTTTGAGTTTTTGAATATTCAGCCAACTGTCAATTACGCTATGAAAGTTTATATATGATAACGCACATAATTTTTAATGGAAAAAACAGTTTCTTTATTAAATTTGAAGAATGGGAAAAAACCGTTGAGAAGTCTTTGTGGATCGTAAAGAACAAGCTCTTTTAACAACACAGCTCATCCGCGTTGCCATTCTCATTGTTGTAAAGTAACATTCCCCATTCGCAATACATTTTTCAAATTATTCGTACATTTTTAAATCACATATGTAAGATATGATATGTAATATTTTTTGAGCACTTTTTTAAATGCTGCTCATTTTTATATAAATATGATAATAGGAAACTATAACGATGATGTGCAATAAACGCATTGATTTATTTTAAGTATCACAATACGCACTGTGCACAAAGTTTGCAATGCACGATATTAAAAATAACTGTGGTAATGTTCGTACTTGAAACGTCTAAGGAAGTAGTGTGTTCGAATCAATTTTGCAATACGGAACACACGAAAGACTTAAATGGCGTTTGGGACACGAAAGGACATTTACCATTATAAATTGTATAATATTCTGCAATCTGTGATCACGTTAGTGTCACACGCATATGACGCATTGATAAACGGTTGCATCTCCTACAAACTTTTCATATGTAAACGAGGCCTAAATGAAATAGTTCAACGAGTCATTCGAAATATATCGTTTAGTTTTCCCGAAATTAATCTTAGGCATTTGTTAGCTATAGTTGTGTATTTTGTACAACGGCCTGCAAAAAATATGTTATGCTATATGCACAGGGTCGCAGGTGACGAAATGAAAAATATTACAAAAAATCGTTTTCTAAAATATCTTGCCAAAATACCAATTAATCCAAATTTATATTTAATCCTAACATATTAAACGTCATCGCGTGTGCAAAGATGTTTCGTCTTCATAAGCTGAAACGCAAAGCAATAATATTTAAAAAGAATTAAATTTATATTTAATATAACTTTCTATATACTTAATATTTAAAATTTATATAAAAAAACTTGTATTATGATATTAATAATATAAAGAACTATATTTGAAAAAAATATTTTTTAAAAAGATATCGTAGTATATACTGTAGCGACGTAGCATATATCGTAGTTGGTGCATCGAACGTAGGGGTTAGCGTGACCTTCGGCCATTTGCGTATAGATTACTAACTTGATCCGCTCATTGTAACAAGAAACACCCTATTTACAAAAGATTCTATACAAGTATATACGAAATAATTCATACACTCGTATATATCACAAT